GCATAAAAATACATCAAAATAGACAAAGGAGACCTGCCTATCCAGGCAGGACCACCCATAATTTCCACCTGCTTGGTCTCTGACCCCACCTCCAGTCCTCTGCTGGAGCCCCGGGCCCATCCCAGAGATCCACCTCTCTCTGCGGGCCCACTCTGAGTTTCTGCAGGCAAGATCCTTGACCCCCAAATCCGGGCCTCTGCCAAAGAAAGAGGCCTCAGCTGGAGAGTTCCAGCTTCCAGTGAGATCCGACTATCCTGCAAAACTTTTCCAAGTTTCAGCTCAGCCCCTGTCCTCTTCCGCCAGCTATTGGCCAGAGGTGAGTCTGGGCCCAATTGGGGCAGCCTGTCCCCTACAACCCCCCCCCCCGCCCGAACTCCCTGGGTTGGCCCCTGATCCTGCTCCTCCTGTCTCCAGTCCCCATCTAGAGCACCCTTGGAGCTCTGATACACCCCCACCCATCCTGTGCCTACCCCCCCTACCCTGTGCCCTACCCTATCCTGCCGCTCTGGTTGAGCACTGGGACAGAAGGTGGAGCCAACAGTCCACCCTACTTCGGAGACTTCTCAGAGCAACTCTGAACAAAGGAAACCTGACTTTCCAGGCGGGACCACACATAATTTCCACCTGCTTGGTCTCTGACCCCCACCTCCAGCCCTCTGCTGGAGTCCCCGGCCCCTCCCAGAGATCCGCCTATCTCTGCGGGACCACTGTGAGTTCCTGCTGGCATCTTCTACTGGACCCTCATCCTTGACCCCATTCCTGGGTTCCTGTCTTCGGAAACCTCCTAGAGAGCTTGGACCACACACAGCTACAGATATTGAATCTCAGACCCACATAAGCCCACCGGGGAAGTACCATAGAGAGAAGGGGAGAGCCCACCAACACCTACTGGAAGAAGCTATGGGGAGAAGGCAATACAAGAAAACACCTAACAACAGAAAGACAAGCATGACACCACCAGAATCTAGGGAATCTACACCAACTAGAATGGAACACAACAACAAAGCAGAGGAAGCAGAAGGGAACAACTTAAAAATTCCCATCATAAAAATGATAGAGGCCCTCAAAGAAGATGTGAGAAAATCCCTTAAAGAAACGGAGGAAAAAACAAACAAAAAACTGGAAGAAATGAACAAATTCCTTAAGGAAAGTACAGAAAGCCAAGAAAAAACAATTAAGCAGGTGAAGGAAACAGTTCAAGACTTGAAAACTGAAATAGAGAAAATAAAGGCAACACAAACCAAAGGAATGCTGGAAATAGAAAAACTGGGCAAAAAATCGGCAACTACAGACACAAGCATAACCAACAGAATTCAAGAGATGGAAGAGAGAATCTCAGGCGCAGAAGATAAACTAGAAGAAATAGATTCATCGACCAAAGAAAATCATAAATCCAACAAATCCTTAACACAAAACATCCAGGAAATGTGGGACACCATGAAAAGGCCAAACCTAAGAATAATAGGCATAGACGAAGGTGAGAAAGCCCAGCTCAAAGGTGCTGAAAACATATTCAACAAAATCATCGAGGAAAACTTTCCAAATCTGAAGAAGGACATGCCCATGAAAGTACAAGAAGCATACCGAACACCAAATAGGCTGGACCAAAGAAAAAAGACCCCCTCGACATATAATAATCAAAACATCTAGCATACGAATAAAGAAAGAATATTAAGAGCAGCGAAGGTAAAAGGACAGGTAACATATAAAGGCAGACCTATCAAAATTACACCTGACTTCTCCATGGAAACCCTCAAAGCCAGAAGGTCCTGGATAGATGTTCTAAAAGTATTAAGAGAACACGGACACCAGCCTAGGCTACTATATCCAGCAAAACTCTCAATCACTATAGATGGAGAAAACAAGATATTTAATGACAAAACCAGATTTTCCCAATACGTATCTACAAATCCAGCCCTACAGAAAGCATTGGAAGGAAAACTCCAACCCAAGGAAGGTAACTACGCCCACAAAAATGTAGGCAACAGATAATCCAACTACACCAGAAACCAAGGGTAAAGCAGAACTAATATATTCACAATACCACTGCCAACAAGAAACCTAAATCAAACAAGCATCAACAATCAATAGTCCTTACTTACCCACAACATTAATGGTCTTAACTCACCTATAAAAAGACACAGAATGGATACGAAGACAGAATCCATCCTTCTGCTGCATACAAGAAACACATCTAAGCTTCAAAGATAGACATTACCTCAGGGTAAAGGGTTGGGAAAAGATATTCCAATCAACTGGAAATAAGAAGCAAGCAGGCATAGCTATCCTAATATCTAACAAGTTAGACTCAAACCAAAATTAGTCAAAAGAGATGAAGACGGTCATTTCATATTCATCGCAGGAGAAATCCATCAACACAAAGTCTCAGTTCTGAACATCTATGCCCCTAATACAAAGTCACCCACATTCGTAAAAGAGACACTACTAAAACTCAAAGCTCATATAAAACCTCACACACTTATAGTGGGAGACTTTAATACACCACTCTCAACACTAGACAGGACCACAAATCAGAAACTCAACAAAGAAACAAAAGAATTAACATAAGTTATGTCTCAACTAGGGTTAACAGACATCTATAGAACATTCCATCCAAAGACAAAAGAATATACCTTCTTCTCTGCTCCACATGGAACCTTCTCTAAAATCTACCACATACTAGGTGACATAACAAACCTCAACAGATACAAGAGAATAGGAATAGTCCCCTGTATCTTATCGGACCACCATGCTTTAAAATTGGAATTCAACAACAACACAAATAGCAGAAAACCTGCAAACTCATGGAAACTGAACAATGTGCACTACACCTGGGTCAAAGAAGAAAGAAAGAAATTAAGGACTTTCTAATATTCAATGAGAATGAGGACACAACACACCCGAACTTATGGGACACCTTGAAAGCAGTGCTGCGAGGGAAGTTCATTGCACTAAGTGTCCATATGAAGAAAATAGAGGATAGTCACATAAGAGAATTAACAGCGCAACTGAAAGCCTTAGAAAAGAGAGAAGCGAATTCACCCTGTAGGAGTAGACGCCAGGAAATAATCAACTTGAGGGCTGAAATTAACAAAATAGAAACCAGGAAAACAATACAAAAAATCAATGCAACGAAGAGTTGGTTTTTTGAGAAAATCAACAAGATAGACAAACCTTTATCCAAATTAACGAAAAAGCAGAGAGAGAACATGCAAATTAACAAAATCAGAAACGAAAAGGGGAACATAACAACAGACAGAGAGGAAATCCAGACAATTTTTCAGGTCATACTTTGAAAATCTGTATTCCACAAAAATTGAAAATTCAAAGGAAATGGTCAAATTTCTGGATAACTATCACTTACCAAAATTAAATCAAGAACAGACAAACAACTTAAACAGACCTATAACCCGCAATGAAATAGAAGCAGTCATCGAAAGCCTTCCAACCAAAAAAAGTCCAGGGCCAGATGGATTCAATGCAGAATTCTACCAGACATTCAAGGAAGAACTAATACCACTATTCCTCAAACTGTTCCATAAGATAGAAGCAGAAGGTTCATTGCCAAACTCTTTTTATGAGGCCACAATAACCTTGGTACCCAAGCCTCACAAAGACACAACTAAGAAAGAAAACTACAGACCAATATCCCTGATGAACATCAATGCAAAAATACTCAATAAAATACTGGCAAACCGAATTCAAGAATACATCAGAGAAATCATCCACCATGACCAAGTAGGCTGCATCTCTATTTGTCTATTTGTCTCTATTTGCAGATGATATGATAGTTTACATAAGTGACCCAATAAACTCTACCAGGGAACTCCTACAGCTGATAAACACGTTCAGCAAACTAGCAGCATACAAGATAAACTCAAAAAAAAAAATCAGTAGCCCTACTTTTTTCAGACGACAAAGAGACAGAGAAAGAAATCAGAGAAACATCACCCTTTACAATAGCCACAAGCAACATAAAGTATCTTCGTGTAACGCTTACCAAACAAGTAAAAGACCTACATAATAAGAACTTTGTGGCTCTAAAGAAAGAAATTAAAGAAGATACCAGGAAATGGAAAGATCTCCCATGCTCTTGGATAGGTAGGATAAACATAGTAAAAATGGCAATCTTGCCAAAAGCAATCTGCAGATTCAATGCAATCCCCATTAAAATCCCACAATTCTTAACCGACCTTGAAAGGATAATAATCAACTTTATATGGAAAAACAAAAGACCCAGGATAGCCAAAACAACCCTATACAATAAAAGAACTTCAGGAGGCATCACCATTCCTGACTTTAAACTCTACTACAGAGCTACAGTTCTGAAAACAGCATAAAAATAGACAGGTAGACCAATGGAATTGAATTGAAAATCCTGATATTAACCCACACACCTATGAACACCTGATTTTCGACAAAACAGCTAAAATTATACAATGGGGCGAGGACATCATCTTCAACAAATGGTGCTGGCACAATTGGATGAGGGTGTGTAGAAGACTGCAGATAGACCCATGTCTGTCGCCATGCACAAAACTCAAGTCTAAATGGATCAAAGACCTCAACATCAATCCAGCCACATTGAACCTCTTAGAAGAGAAAGTAGGAGGTACCCTTGAACAAATTGGTATAGGAGACCACTTCCTAAACATAACTCCAGGGGCACAGACACTGAGAGAAACAATTAATAATGGGACCTCTTCAAACTTAGAAGCTTCTGTAAGGCAAAGGACACAGTGGACAAGACCAAACGGCAGCCCACAGACTGGGAAAAGATTTTCACCAATCCTATATCCGACAAAGGGCTGATCTCCAAAATATACAAAGAACTCAAGAAACTAGTCAACACAACACCAAATAACCCTATTAAAAAATGGGGTACAGAACTGAAGAAAGAATTCTCAATAGAGGAAATCAAAAAGGCTGAAAGACACTTAAGAAAATGTTCCACATCCCTAGCTATCAGGGAAATGCAAATCAAAACAACTTTGAGATACCATCTTACCCCTGCCAGATGGCTAAAATTAGAAACACCAGTGATGACTTATGTTGGAGAGGATGTGGAGAAAGTGGAACACTCCTCCACTGCTGGTGGGAGTGCAAACTCATACAGCCATTTTGGAGATCAGTATGGCAGTTCCTGAGGAAAATGGGAATTAGTTTACCACAGGACCGGGCAATCCCCCTCTTAGGCATATACCCAAAGGATTCACATCCATGCAACAAAGACATCTGTTCAACTATGTTCATAGCAGCACTATTTGTAATAGCAAGAACCTGGAAGCAACCTACATGCCCCTCAATTGAAGAATGGTTAATGAAGATGTGGCACATCTACATAATGGAATACTACTCTGCAGAAAAAAATAATGGTATCTTGAAATTCGCAGGCAAGTGGATGGCACTTGAAGAAACCATCCTGAATGAGGTAACCCAGTCACAAAAAGAGGAACACAGTATGTACTCACTCATATATGGATTTTAGACCTAGATCAAAGGATCACCAGCCTATAATTCACACCACCAGAGGAACTAAGATACAAGGTATATTCTAAGAGATTCATATAAAGTCCCTCACAGAACTGGTAATGGACAAGTCCCCCAGAGCTCAGGGGAAGTGGGGGGGGGGCAGCGAATGGAGAGAGAAGTAGGAGAAAATGAGGGGGAGGAAAGGAAAACATGTGCGACCAGGAAGATTTAGTCTGGTTAGGAATAGAAGACAGGAAAGAGAGAGAGAGAGAGAGGAGAGAGAGAAAGAGAGAGAGAGAGGAGAGAGAGAAAGAGAGAGAGAGAGAGAGAGAGAAAGAGAGAGAGAGAGAGAGAGAGAGAGAGAGAGAGAGAGAGAGAGAGAGAGCATAAAATAGGGAGCCAATATTGGTTTGAAGATAAAATTGAACACAAAGAAAGGTCTAGAGAACTACAAGACTGCTGCCAACTAACAATTTGAGCTTCCGTGGAAAGGCTACCATAAATGCCCTTCCCGGAGAGTGAGATCAACAACTAACTTATCCATGGATCCCTCAACTAATGCCTGTTGGAAACAGGAGCAAACACCCATAAATAAACACTGAGTCGAAGTAGAACTCAGATGCAGAGGGAGAAGACAAGACCATGTGGCAGAAACACATAGAGGCAGCTTATCTGAACAAGGAGTAGCTAACGGGCCACCAGACTAATAGCTGGGAAGCCAGCATGGGACTGACTCAGGCCCCCCTGAATATGGATCTCAGCCAGAAGGACTGAGCAGTCTAAGAGACCTCAGACAGTGGAGCCAGGATGTATCCCTGATGCACAAAAGGACTTTGAGACACATCTGCCATGGAGGGATAACTGCCTTAATCTAGAGACAGGAGAGAAGCCCTAGTCCCTACTTCACATGACCTGTCAGACCTATGTGACCCCTACTGGATGACATTCCCCTACATATGGAATTGGGGTGGGGGGATGGGAGGGGATGGTGGTTAGGGTGCATGTGAGAGGGCAGAGAGGGTAAAAGGGAGGAAAGGAGAGAGGGAGGAAGGGAGGGAGTGAGGGAGGTTGGCAGGGAGGGAGGAAGGGAGGGAAGGAGAGGGAACTGGGATCGACATATAAAATAATAAATTAAATTAAAAAAAAATGCTTTGACTCCAAAATTTAAGTTCAAGGATAAGTTACTGGGGAAAAGGATTTCTATTTTTGTTTCCACAGAAAATGAAAAGATGTGGATTCCTTCCAGACTAATGTGGTTTGATCAAGCCAGACCACCTGAAACAGAGTACCAGGTGATCCTACATTCAAAACAGCTGGACAAAGCAGCCTGACAGACTACAGCCAGGATTTCTGAATCTTCTTCAAATTCCCCATGACAGCGCCCCTTACCAGCAGGAAGTAGTTTGGAAAGAACAATGCCCAAATTCCCGAATATTGTCTATAAATGTTTGTATTCATTTAAATGGACTTGGTTATATAAAATAAAAAAAAATCAAAATAATAACTGCCAATGATAATGCCCATTGTTTTTATTTTTCTTTTCCTATGTATCATCATGTAGTTAAGTTTCCATATCCAAAACATATTTTTACAAGAAACTAGTATTTAAGACATAGACTTTTTCCTTAAATAATCCCCAATGTTGAACTAAGTGCATAGTTAAATGATACCACTTTAAGCTCTGTATGTGTGTGTGCGTGTGCGTGTGTGTCTGTCTAAGGCCTGAACCTAGAACTTCACTCATACAAGCAAGTCCTATATTCCTATATTCAATTCTAAAAATCTTTTTTATTTTTAAGGGAATTGCAGTGATGGGAAATAACAGTGCTTTCCTGAGTGATGTTTTATATTCCATTATGTTTATTTTATTGTGTACTGTTGCACTCACTTTATGAGGACAGCACAAAGTCTTGCTGCTCCTTTTGGAACTTGAAATGGCAAAATTAAATCAAGTGCTTAAGTGGTGATAAGCACAATACACCTAACAGCCAAAGAACTGGTCTGACTGCTCATTTGCCCCATTTATGCTCACAGCCAGCCTCAGAGAGCTTCCGAGGAGGCAGGGAGACTAAAGGCCACTCAGAGCCACTGCCTGCTCCAGCCACAGAGAAGGGCACAAAATTTCAGAGGCAAAATGCTGACCAGTGTCATGGAAAGGAAAAAGCTACAACTAAGCCTATGTGTCTGGTTCCTCTTGCTCCCTACACAGACAAGACTGTTCTGAGCTCCACATGGACTCTCTAAGCGGCTCTAAGAGTAGTTCATGTGTCTGTGCCCCACTCACCGAACCCTAGCGCAGCAGCTCCCAGATGCTGCCCGGACTCACCGACTTCTGCCGTGCCTGCATGCCTGCGCTGGATGTGGCCCCGGAGAAAGGTGGCATTCATGAACGTCTTATCACACAAATGGCACTACACAGAAGAAAAGCAATTTGAAAAGCTGGGTTAGATCCCCCAGATAGCATGGGATTTCCCTGTATTGAAAATCTGTCTCCCCAGAGCCAAGGGCTGCTTCAGAAATAGAAATAACTTGAAGGGTTGGGAGTATGGGAGACCCTGGGTTCAATTCCCATCACCGCATAAATAAAGAATGATGGGAAGGGAAGGGAAATAGGAACGCTGGTTTTTAGTAGAATACAAGACCAGTGAATAACCACCATATGTCCCAGCCCTCTCTTATAACTGAGTGTGACCATGTCACTATATTCTAGTCATTACATGTAAGCAGAAATGGTATATGCAATTTCTAAGAGGTGACTCTGTTTAAGTCCTGGAGACACACCCCTTTAATTGGAGTACTCAGGAGGCAGCACAGTCAGGCAGATTCTGTCACTGAACAGTACATTCACAATGGACAGAGTCTGCACTGACACATTCTGCCCACCGGAGACTCAACAAAAATAAACCTCTATTGTAAGGGGAATGTGAAGTAGGTGGGACATCTTATCGCCCCACCCCACACTAACAGCCTTGCCCCCAAACTATGAATCTCCTGAAAATCTCAAGACCTGTAACCACATTCTAGAGCCTGCCCATGGCCAGGGTTACTGTCTCAACCTGTGTTTCTGGTGCAGTGGATTCAAACGCACAAGTGCTGAGCTGTTTATGAATTATGAAATAGGTTTTCTAAAATAAACCTGCCTCCACTATGCCTTGCCACACACTTAGTAGTCAACATTCACATGCTTCCATGCACACACACATGCCTTTACACAGCACATACTACTTACATTCAAACTCTCCATCCCCGTACACGTACAAACACATCTACTTTCCATACATATATCCTTAGACACATATACTACATATCCTTCATTCATTCACATATACATCCTTACATGTAGCCTCTACATACAAGACAGACATTTACATCCCCCCTCAAAGACACACAGACACACATCATAAATATATCTTTATATTAGACTTCTCTGCTGCGTCCACCATGGTAAGTCAGTACAAGTAAACGTTATACAACACATATTCTACAGACACAGACATCACAGTGGTACTTCAATCACTTGCATATACATATTGAACACGCCCACATGCACAGATACAAACCTCATATAGTCACACCTTCACACACTACACACGCATCTTCTCCATGCACTAGAGTACTCTGTATACATAACCCTGTACACTCATCTCTCCATGCCCATTCTACACGTATATAGCATAGAACCCAATAAGAATCCTCAGACTGTCAGAATGTCATCTCTAAAACCTGCTCATAACTGGTGACAATGGCCTCCAGTAGTCTCATGGCCCAAGGCAGTGCCAATAATCTGTCCTGATACCTAAGGTGCACAGCTTAGGTTCCCCTCGGCAAAGAATCCTCACCGTGTGGTAGCTGTGGGCACCCGTCTGCAGAAGCAGCTGCTGTAGGGTGCTGATCATCTTTCGCCGGCGCCGGCTCTCCTCCCGAACACCCTTGAGCTCATCAGCCTGGCGCCCCAGCTCCTGCTGGCCACGCTGCTGCTGGCCCAGGCTGGCCTGCAGCCGTGTTTCCAGCTGCGCCACACTGGTACTCAGGCAGTCCTGACAGTGAAGCAGATACTCGATGATGAGCTGTGCCAGGCGCAGCACCTTGAGCAGCACTGGGTCCACGGGCTGCCTGCAGTGGGTGCACACCTCTCGATCCAAATTACAGAAGGTGACACCAGCAATGTTCTCCTGCAGAGTAGCGACGTCCAGCTCCCGAGCCACACGGTCCACGTCTACAGCGCTGATGCGCCTCCAGTCTATGCTCTCACGACGAGGCTGGAACTTGAAGGTGGGGAGCGTGTAAGACCCGGACAGCGGGCCACTAAGGCCCTCAACAGTGGCTGCTGGATACTGCATGGGCAGGAGAGGCTCTGGGCTGACCACGGAGGTAGAGTGCCACCAAGGCCACTGGCCAAGGAGCTGGAAGAGGACCTGGAAAATGGAAGAGTCCAAGTCACACAAGTTTGAATAGCTGTATCTTCCTTATACCTGCTCAGCAAAACCTTAAAGTGGAGCACAGTGAGTTGTCTGCGTAAGAGCTACTCGGTACGATGCCCTGACTGTGTTGACATGGCAACGCTGTAGGAAGGATAGATAGGCCTTCCACTGCACAGACATGTATCTGAATCCTCTGCCATGGGCAAGTCTCTTCCTCTTAAACCTCCTGTGTCAATGTGGGAGTAGGAAACCCACTTGGAAGGACTGTGGTGAGGAAGGAGGCTGGTGACACACTCTGCCTAGTGCCTGGCACATGGTGGGGTCCTCAGGAACTCTCTACAGACCCACTGCAGCAGTGCCTGACAACGAATTTTGTTAAGTGTGCAAGTGGGTTTTTCTGCAATGCTACAGTTACTTGGGATACAGTTCAACAACTCTCCCAGAATGGCAGAGCCACCTAATGAGCACAACAGTGCCATACAGCATTCTAGTAGAGCATGCCTGGACAACATTTCCCAGTTTCTCCTGCAGTAAAGTACGATCATGTGACTAAGTTCTTTCTGGTGGATTGCAAGTGAAATAATGTCCATAGGAAAGCCGCTATGTGCTCAGTCTATGATGGGCCTGTTTGTTTATTTGCTGCTTTATTTTTATTTTTTACACACAGGGCCTTAGGCATGCCAGTCCAATGCTTTAACATTGAACTTCACTCCAAGCCCATTAACAGATCAGAGAAAAGAGCTTTGCTGTTTTTTGTTTGTTTGTTTCTTTGTTTCCCAAAAGACTGGGATTCTATTTCCTGTGCTCTTGGTAGATATGCTTGCCAGCTTTTTCTCATGTTGCCACAAGCTACAATCATCTAGAGTTAGGAAACACAACTGAGAAAATGTCTCCATAAGAATGGGCTGTAGGCAAGCATGTGGGGAGTTTTCTTAATTGATGATTGATGTGGAAGGGTCCAACCCACTGTGGATGGGCATGTGGTCCTGGAGTGTACAAGAAAACAAACTGAGCAAGCCAGTAAGCAGCATCCCTCCATGGCCTCCGCTCTAGTTCCTGCCTCGAGGAACTGACTTCATTTAGTGACATGCTCTTCATAATGGCATGTAACCTGAGTATTATAACCTGAAATAAACTCTTTTCTCCACAAGTTGTTTTGATTATGGTGTTTTACTACAGCAGTAGAAACCCAAACTAAAATAGGAGGCATGTAATTTCTGTCTTTGAACAGTACTTTGACAATATCAGTGGGAATTTAAAATTAATATACTACTAACAATTAAGCCAGGTGATGGTGGCACACTCCTTAAATCCCAGCACTTGGGAGACAGAGGCTGGTGGATCTGTATGAGGCCAGCCTGCTCTATGGAGGGAGTTCCAGGACAGCCAGGGCTATACAGGGAAACCCTGCCTCAATAAACCAAGAAGGAAAAGGAAGAGAAATATTATTGTTATTATTATTAACATCATCATCATTATTATTATTATTTGGCTGGAATGCAGTTCGGTAGTAAAGTATCTGCCTAGCATTCATAAAACCCTGGATTTGATCTCCAGCACTGAAGAGAGACAGGCCTGGTACATGAGGACTTATAATCCCAGATACTTAGGAGGTTGAGTCAGGAGAATTATGAGTTCAAGACCTGCCTATACTACAGAGTAAGTTAAAGACCAGCCTGAGTAACTATCAAATAATAATAATAATAATAATGATAATAATCAAGAGGGGCAGAAGCCTGGGACTGTAGCTCAGTGGTAGAGACTTGCCTTGCATGCGCAAAGCCTTGAGTTTAATCACCAGCACACGCGCGCGTGCGCACACACACACACACACACACACACACACACATACACACAAGATTCTTCATAAAAAAGTGAATTATAATTTACCCTATAAACAAACTCATCTGCACAAAGATGCCTATGGAAAAATTGTCATTGCAATATTAGTTATAAAAGTAATGCACAAGAAAATATATAAGAAAGTAAAGTACAGCAGGTGGTGGTGGTGAGTGCTTTTAATCCCAGCACTCAGGAGGCAGAGGCAGGTGGAGCTGTGTGTTTGAGGCCAGCCTGGACTACAAATCAAAGCTAAACATAGAAACCCTGTCTCAAAAAAAAAAAAAAAAAAAAAAAAAAAAAAAATCACAGAAAAAGAGAAGGGGGTGCAAAGTACAATATGGGATATAATTGATACAATTGATTGATACTTCTACACAACCAAATACTCTGTTGCTACTTATAAAGGCAAGACAGTTTTTATACCAATAGGGAATAATGACATCATATGCACACATATACACACTTAATACAATCGCATTTAATAATAGCTTAAAAATTACAAAGATAGAGATGGTTGGAATGGTTGACTATGAGAGCAATGAGACCGTGGGATAAATAAATGGATAGATGGATGACAGCAGGTGGTCAGACAGACAGATGAGACTCACAAAGTGTTCACTGCAGTGATGTATACCTGTTCTGATTATGTAAAACATGCACACCCGTTAGTCATGTGATTCATTTACATGCCTGATTTCATAAGCACAGATTTTCCTAAAAGAGCCAAAAGCTATTGGAGTGCCTTCCTACTGCCTGTAGGAAGTGAAAGTGGCTGCAAGATTTTTAAATTTTTAGTTTCCATCTCTCTATGCTATTCAAAGTTCTTCCCACCATCACCTATTAATTTTATTTATATAAATAGGGAAGTGTGTGTGTGTGTGTGTGTGTGTGTGTGTGTGTGTGTGTGTATCCCTTGCAAACTAAGATGAGAAAAGGTACACACTTCCCTATTTATCAAATTCTTTCCAGCCTGTGTGATCCAGTTATTGAAATGCAATCCAAGAAAAGTGTCTGAGTTTATCTTTGTCAACTTGACTGGGTTTAGAGTTACCTAGGAGACACACCTCTCAGCTTGTCTATCGGGTGTTTCTAAAGAGTCTTAACCTTGGGAAGAAGCCCCACCCTGGATATGGGTCTGTCCCCTGGCCTGGAGTCTCAGACTGAATAAGGCAACATTCTCTGCTTCCTATCTGCGGGAGTGGTAGTTCGCTACCTCACACCCCTACTGCCATGCCCACCCACCACTATAATGGAAGCCAGAACAGACCCATGTTTCCTTCCATTGCTTTTGTCAGGCATATGTTAAAACAATGAGAAAAGTTCACAAAACTCATGAAAGAAAACAAGTGGGACTAGATGGGCAGAGAAGGGGCTCTAGGAAAGTCCCTGTCCCTTTCTGAACTGCCTTCCTCTGGAAAAGACGGTGGCAATGGCCAGGCAAGCTCTACCTGCTTCCCAGGGAATATGGGGAGGGGGGGCGATGCAACTCAGAGGTAACACCAGCATATTTCATGCAATCTCTAAGCATGAATCTACAAATAGATGGCTGACACCTAGCCCATTATGCGCCACAAGGAAGGAGAGAGACAACACTTATAGGTTCCAAAGATTTAATCAACCACCACATAAGCGGGCTACTGATCCATCAGGGCTGCAGGACCAGGACTCCAGAGTCTTGTTTCTCCTGACAGCCCTGAGTAGGAGCAGAATAATATAATCACAAAAATCACAAACAGGTGTTGCCAAGTTACAGTTACAATTTTCACCAATCAGAAATCAAAGATGAGGGGCGTCCTTGTGTGTTCCATTATTGTCAGCCAACATATGTGCAAGCCTTTTAGCCCAACCAATCAGATTCATTTATTCTTTCTGTTGTTGGGACCAGCTATAATGTTTCTAGAGAGCTAAAGATGCATATCCACTATTTCTATGGTTTAGGGAGGAGGTTGGTCAACCACTGGAAAGTTCTCAGCTCCCGTGGGGCTTGGGAACCTGAACTTTATTTCACCCTCCAGGTAAAATGGAGTCAGAAGCCAAAATGGCAGCACTCAGGCCAAGGTACTTTTGCCTGCTCCCTTCAGATACAGTACCATTATGCCAATGCCAACGAGAGGAACAAGAGCTGAACTACAGATACATGGTCATATGCCTCCGGAGTTTGTGGGCCTGAACTATTCAACTGTGATAAGGCTCTCCTCTAGAAGTTTTACTTTGACTAGAAGCTAACCCCTTTACCTTTAAGCCTCTAATGTATTCATTCGAAATCTCCCCTTGCTCACTGCATACCTGTTTGGGCTGAGCCCAGCAGCTAGCATTGTGAGTAGTGTATGTTGTATTAACCACACCCCTGCACCCGCCTTGGGGTTCAGTGTGGCTTCTTGCTTTTTGATTGATCCTCAGACTGGACACAGGATGCCCTGAGCCCAGCTTTTCAGTTTCATTTCTCAGATACTCTTCCAAAAGCAACACCATCCGGCATAAGCATCCCACCATGTTCACCGGAAGACCAGCATGTTTCTATCCCATTTGATGTGTCAGTTTGCAAGCAAAACAGGGGTTGTGTAACATGGTACTCACCATGCTTAGCTCCAAGTTGCAGCCTCACCACCAGAGCCTCGGAGACGACTGCTCACAACAAGCCGTGCCCCTGAGCAACAGCAGGTTACCAGGCATGCTATACATGCACAAGGGTAACAGGACACCTGCTTCCGGTCCTCCCAAGCCTGAGAACCTCACTCTTTAACTATTTAAGCTTTGGCCTCCCGTGTTTGCCAATATTCCTCTCTCTAATGATAAGGCCACAGCTCTCCATCACCAGCTCTCTCTCCTCTCTCTTTCTCTCTCTCTCTCTGTCTCTCTGAACACCCCTGCCAGCCTCCCTGTTCAGCAAATGATAGGCAGAGTGCAGATGCCCCTAACTACGGCCCATGTCTTACTGCATTCTCCTAAGGATGAGTTCATATACCTACCAGTTTAGCTACTCTTCTCTTGACTGAGCCTTGGGCTACCCCCAAGTTTCTTTGCTCGGGTCCCTTCTGGCTCTTGTGACTTTTGGATCCCTTCCAAACTGCTTAGATTCCAAACCCAAGTTCCAACAGTGCTAGGAAAGTAGCATTAACTACATGAAACACCAGGTAAGACAGACACCTCAGCACATGCATGATGACAAACCGAGTCTCTGCCTCAGTGTCTGAGACTCAGTAAAGCTGTGGTTCTCAGAGCCCTCCACTCCCTGGGCCAGCTCCCAGTTCATAACCTGAGAACATGTTAGAACCCAGAACCAGGGCTGGGAGCCAGCCTACTTGGTAAGGTGTCTGCCCCCAGAAGCATAAAGACCTGCATTTGTATTCCACATAAAAGCCAAGCATGACGGCACGTGCATGTAACCCTAGCACTGGGTAGGGGACAAACACAGGCAGATCCCTGGAATTCAGTGGCCAGACAATCTAGCCAATCAGTGAGCTCTGGGTCAGCAAGAGAACCTGTCTCAAATAGCCAAGGGCACACAAGACAGTCGGTTCATCAGGTAAAGGACATACCTCATAATTCTGATTACCTGAGTTAGTTCCCTAGGGCCCACATAAATGTGGGAGAGAATTGAGTCTAAGTTTTCTTCTGACCTCCATGTGCATGCCATGCCCTGTCCTCTACATCATTCATACACACACACACACACACACACACACACACACACACACACCAGCAAATATCAGAGTAGAGAGCAGTAAAGGAAGACACCCTCTGTAGTGGATTGCTGAGGATCATGGCAATGGGAGAGTGTTCCTCAAAACAATTCCTAGGAACTAGAGCAATGGCTCAGCAGTTAAGAGGACCGGCCGCTCTTCCCAGCGGACCCAGGTTCAATTCACAGCATCTACAAGTCAACTCACAACTGTCTGTAACTCCAGTTCCAGGCATTAGGTAAGTATGTGGTACATATACATATATGCAGTTAAACACTCATTCACATAAATGTATTAAAAACAAAGCAAAACAATTCCTAAAGAGCTGCCATCACATTCTGAGTCACGGAGAATAAAAAACGTCTGCCCAAGGTCCAGAAGCTGGGTACAAACCCAAACAGCTCTCAGCCACTGTTTCTGCAGCCCCTCAGGATAGATTGTCCTATGCCACTGCCTTCTGTCCTTGCTCAAGATGGACACACGCCTCAAGGCTCTGCTCCTCATAACTGTTACCAGAAATCCCTCCTGGGCCCAGAGTCCAAATTTACTGGCTCTTCTCTGCTTCCCCGCCCCCCCCCCCGCCCCGAGCACTAAGTACTCATTCTGGTCAGTGTCAGCAAATGACTCCTAAGCCCTGCAAAAGTCAGAATAGATGGGATTCCAGACACTGATTCCTGCCATTATGAAGGAATGAGAAGTTTGGGGGGAGGGGGGGGAGATGAAAGGGGAAAGCTAACATCTCTGAACTCCACAGTCCTAAGGTTTCACATACGTTGTCCCATGTAATTCTCACAGCAACCCATTACACAGATGAAGAAACTGAGAAAGTGAATAAGGAAGGGCATGATTTTCCCACAATTGCCTAATTACAGTGTCGGGCTCCAGAATTTATTCTCCAAAAGACAGAAAAATATGAAGAACTTCCCCTAGAGAGTGGTAAGTGCCAGGGTATGATCCAAGAAGGGGTCCACACCAAGGCATTGCTGTGCCCTTCTTCCCCACCTGCTCCCTAAGTCTGAGATTTTCAGGGGTTGCACATTGCCTTACTCCTGTCTAGTCCTGCCTTGTTCCGTCTATTGCATCTCAGTCTCTGATCCGTTTCCTGGTGGCTATTAAACTGAACAAAACTGCCAAAATCGTAAACTATTTGCCTCACAATTCTGTGTTCTTGGGGGTCCTGGGGGAAATGAGGCTAGGACCACCAAGAGTTAGACTCAACAGGACAAATGAGTAAGTCATCTTTCATTTGGACTCACCTCAGAGAAATGAGGTCACAGTGAAGTGTTGGACTTGCTGTCCACCCGCAGTCACAAACTGATCCCATTGGCTACTAATGGCTCCGGTGGGTGGGCTCAGGCCCATCAGTGAGTCCTCCCAGTGGCCAGCGTGGCTGTCAAGATGGGGCTTCACAGCTTGCTCTCCTAGTGCCTTCAAACCTTTCTTTTCACAAACTCCTAAGCAAACTTCATAAACACCATGAAGGGAGACCCCACTTGCTTCCATAGAACTCTGAGTTCATGAGGCTTTTACTGCACCCCCAATAGTAGCACTCCTATCTCCTTTTATGACTCTAGAAGAAATTCTGGGGGGCTCTGGCTTCAAACGGTAGGCTAGAAATGTAGGAATTCATGTAGATGGTGAACTGATGGCTGCAGCTGTTATTTATCAAGCGCCTAAACCTGAATTACACCAACCGACCTCCCAACAATGATGGCAGGGGTGCCATACTGACGCTACAACAGGCTGTTTTTCATTGTGGAAATACAGTACCTGAGATTCCTTGAGTAGAATGGAAGGGCTGCCAGGGTTTGCAGCAAATCATGACAGGGTCACTGCTGGAGACCTGAAATCCTCAGTGTACCTCAGCTCCAAAGCCTGCTTCCTGGCAAGGACAGGCAGAAGACAAAGCCACATGACAATGTTGCTGGTTACCAAGAAACCACACACCCCAGGGGCAGGGACTCGGGCCTGCTCCAGACCGAATTATCAGCAGACTGTTTTCCCACATCTGGGAAAAGAAACACAAGGGAGAGATGATTCACCATCATTAGGAAATCTGAGGCTGTGTTACCTGTATCTACACGTTTTGATGGGGTTCAGAGAAACTTCCCAGTCCTACTTTACTCTCATGGACCTTTATGCTAGTGTTTGAAGTTCGCTCCACTATGGCAATGTTCATTACCCCCTGCAGCAATTCCACACTCAATGTCCAAAAGAAAGAAGGAAAGAAAGATCTGAGGGAGTGTTTACTACCTCCCAAGTCAGTGGTTCCATGAGGAAACAAATCCTGGAGGCCATGTGACTCTTCTGCCAAAAATAATATTCACAAAATTGCCCAAACATCCCATTCTTTTTTTCATTTAAATTGCATCTACACATCTCACTGTCTTTTTCTTCCTCAAAAATGAAACCAAGAGGGAAGTTCAGGAAGTGCCAGGCTTCTAAGCGCCATGGGCAATCATTTACAAACTTGCCCTGGCTTCCAAGCTAACTTCACCGGCGCCTGCCCTGGGGAACTCTGAGCTTGTTATTAGTGCTAATTGTCATGGCTGCCAAGGAAACCTTCCCACAGTTTGCAAACAGGCTCTCCACACACCAGAGTCAAGGGAGTGCTGGAGCCCCTGATGGAAATGGGAGGGATCTGGGACCGCTGAACACTTCCACAGACCCCAGTCTAGAGCTTAGAGTTTCTTGTTTTACTACATAAACGTTTTCTTAAAAATTAAGGAGTCTAGGGGCTGCATCCACTCTCAGAACTTCCAAACAGCAAAAGATAGATTCACTCCCAGAGGCACCAAGATCTCCCTAGTAGCTGGCTGGCCCCCTCTGCCCCGACAACTTTACAATGATTTCCTCTTGACTGCTTGTTGGTGTGGGTGTGCTGGTGGGGACGCAAGGCAGGGCCTTGCACATGCTAACTATGAATGAGCTCTACCACCAAACTACGACTCCAGCTCCAAGGAGATACTTTTTAAAGCCAGTACCAGAAGAGCACTTACGTGACCCCTGGCAAGTCAACTATACTCCAGGGCAGGTCCTACTCAAAAGAGTAGTGAGACAACTGGACTGAGGGTTGTAGGGGGGATCTCAACATTAGGTGGGTAGGGAAGTGAGGGTGGAGAGAGTGGGGGAGTATGATCAGAATACATGCAGGAAATTCTCAAAGAATTAAGAAAAATATTTATAAAAGCTTATTGTGAAGTTTTGTCACACACACAAAGATTTTTTTTTTTTCTAAAAATGGAGGTGGAACCTTAACCAATGCCTCAGAGAAGAGGAATAGGACTGGCAAGTCAGAAGTGCCAAAAACAAACAGAAGCCGCTTCTCATCAGAAGGAAAACTGACAGATAGACTGTACCAGTGTTTCTTGTCTATTAAAGTGCTTCCTAACAGGCCTCTCCACCTTTAGTCTGGGCCAGACCCCTCACTAGAATTCCCAGGCCTGGTGAGAGGCAAGTGGTTGGTCAGCTTTGCTGGCCACGACTGCCCCTTTCTGCAAAGCGGCCACGAGACATTCCGAACTGCCTGCCAACACTCCCCTTCTCCACCTGGTCTTCTGGGTAACACAATCAACCTTCTGACAAAAGTTCAGCTCCCAGGGCAGAACCGGCAGCGCAGCTGCACAAGAGGTTCTGCTCCCAACATGAGCCATGCATCTAAGGTCACAGCAGGGAGATTTCCCAGGAGTTTGATGCTAGTTTTCACCTGCCAGACCACATCCTGGGGAAGGACGAGGAGGTAGTAACTATCTTTCTCAGGAGACACAGCACTTACTCACAGGCAGATGGAGAAGGCAGGGTTGGAACATCTCACACTTCACTAGGCCTCATCTAATTCCTGAAGACATAGCCAGGGCAGCACAGGCCCTGGGCCCTTCAAGATCCTTTGTAAAGGCAGTCCTTCCTACCCAGGCCCTGTCCTCTGCTCCTGCCTCCCACACTCTCCCGTGTACAGTCTCCCGTGAACTTCTAATCACACCCACTTCTGATCGCTAATGCTGTGCTCCTGCTAAATTTCAGCCCGGGACCGGAAACGGAGGAACTAGAGATGCCAATGTTTTTTTTCAAAATTCATCTCGCTAGAAACCGACCCCCAATGCCTTCTCTAAGAACTCGGATGTCTCAGAACTCAGATCACTTTACTGTTTTCAAAAACTCCATTCCCAAGACCACCCTCCCGAAGAAAACGGGGGGGGGAGGGGGGTTGAGATGGGTGTCAGTCATCCTATCCTGTTCGGCGCCTCCCGGGAGCATGGAGTCCTTCGCCGGCAGGGTACCTCAAGCCAGAACAATCCGAGGCCGCTGGGATGGAGGCGCAGGGAGCAGGACTTCGTGAGGCACCCTCGGCCACGCAGCTCGGTTTCTGGCTGAGTGACCCAGCCACTAATGTTTAACCTGCGCGCGCAGAGGCCGAGTAGCTCCGCCTGGAACCACGCTCCCTCCCGGGGCTCCCGGCTGGATTCCAGGCATAGTTTTCCCGGGAGGCCTGGGTCGCCCTGGGGGGGGGGGGGGAGATCACCAGGGAAGGGGCTGGGGACTAGAGGTATGGGGGAGGTGCCACGTCCTCACTCACCCCACCCGCAGGTCCAGACTCACCCCATCTCCTGCAGTGCATCCAGAGGATGCTACCAGCCACGCGGACACTACTAGCCAAATGCCAGTATCCTGCAAGCCTCTCCACACCAGTAGCTCAGGGCCCGGGGTCTGCTGTGCCTCCCACCCCACCCACAGCAGAGGCGGAGCCTATCCCCAGCGCCCCGGAACAGCTATTTTTAGAGCTGTAGGGGATGGGGGAAAGGAGGGAATGCCTCTTTGACTCTGTTAAGAAAATCCAGCATCCAAGTTCCCAGGCCTTGATGAGCAGCAGGACTTTCTTGTCGCCCTCCCTTCATTTCCACATCTGACCCATGGCAGGAAGCAGCCACTGTCCTAAGGTAAACCAGGACAGCTGCTGCTGCCCCTTACCCTCCGCAGGCATCTCTGCAAGCCCGATGAACTGAAGGATTTTGGCCAAGGTCCCCATTAGGAGACACTTCAGAGTGTTTAGTGGCAATGATCCGGAACCCAGAAAGCTGGGGCAGGAGCTGGAGGGAATTATTTTCTCTCTCCTAATTTGGGCCCTGCTCCTTCTCATTGGGTCTCATTACTCTTCAGTTCTGGGAGGTTTTGTTGTGTCTTCGGGCTTTCCTCTCAATCACAGCCTTACTATGCCAAGCACTGCATCTTGGGACAGCAAGGACGAAAGTACTGGATATAAGTGCTGGCAAGGGTGAGGAAAAACTCAAATTTCTCTGTGATGAAAATGGTATTGCTGCTGTGGAAAACAAAATGATGACTCCGCTGAGAAGTTACTTCGGGTCCGCCATATGATCCGGCGATTATCATGTTGCGATGTCTTGAATTAGAATGACTCCCACAGGCTCATACATTTGAATACTTTGAATGTCATCAGGGAGTGGCACTATTTGAAAGAATTAGAAGGATTGGGAGGTGTGGCCTTGTTGGAGGAAGTGTGTCACTTGGGTATGGGCTCTGAAGTTTCAAAAAGCCCATGACAGACCCAGTCTCTCTTTCTGCTTGCAGATCAGGATGGCTCTCTCAACTACCATCCCCTCTGTGATGCTAATGGACTGAGCCATTACCCAAGTAAATGCAATCTTTTGTAATAGCTGCCTTAGTAATGGGACACTAGTGTTTAAAATAGCAATATCAGGCTGACAAGATGGCACAGCAGGTCTGATATCCTGAGTTGAATTCCTGTAACTCACATGGTGGAAGGAAAGAAACAACTCCTGAAACTTGTTTTCTGACATTTGGGCATTACAGACATACACGTAAAATAAAATAATAGCATTATGCACAAAGGTCGAAATATGGAAACAATCCAAGTGTCCGCTGACAGCCAGTGGAATATAATTTATCCTTAGAGAGGAAGGAAGTACCGGCATGTGTTATAACATACTATAACCTGAATCACCTTTATCTTTGTCTATTTAGAAGGCTATAATAAAAATACTACAGACTGATCAGGAACTCATTCCTCTGGCTTCTGGAAGCTAGGAAGTCTAAGATTAAGGCATGAGCAGATTCCCTTTTTGCTGAGCACCTGTTTCCTGACAGACCCGTGGAAGGGTCTAGCTATGCTCTGAAGAGTCCTCTATTAGGGCACAGAACCCAGCTGTGAGAGCTCTACTCTCATGACCCAAGCACTTCCTGGAGTCCCCATTCATAATAATGTCACTGCTGTTTGGTTAAGTGTCCCCCAGAACCCATATGGTAAAGCCTTGGTCCCTAGCATGGTACTATTGAGAGTTGGTGGGGCATTTAAGAGATAGAACCTAACTGGCAGACTTCAAGGTATTTGGTAGAGACCTTGAATGTGATAGTGAGGCCCTCCAGTTCCAGCTTTACTGCTGTGGGGTGAAAGATTTCACTCTGCTATGATGTATTACCACAAGCCTCAACAATGAGGGCAAACCACTCTGCCCCCTATTGAAATCTCCAGAACTGGGAGCCAAAATAAGCCTCCTCCTCCTTCTTATATTGAGCAAAAACTAACAGATATGCAAGTAAACAAGCTAGTCAGAAAAGGAAAGAGTTATGTGGTTCTACTTACAGGGTGTCTTAGGGTTCCTATTGCTGTGACAGTTATTGCAACACACCTTGACCACAGAAACTCTTATAAAGGAATTGGGGCTGGCCTACAGTTCAGAAGTTTGGTTCGTTGTCATCATGTCAGGAAGTGTGGCAGGGTGCAGGCAGACATGGTGCTGGAGAGGGAGCTGAGAGCTCTATATTCAGATTGGCAGGCAGCAGGAATAGAAAGTGACACTGGGTCTGGCTTGAGCGTCTAAACCCTCAAAGCCCACCCCTATTGGCACACTTCCTCCAACAAGGCCACACCTATTTCAACAAGGCCACACACACCTCCTATAGTGCCATTCCCTATGGACCCATGGGGGTCATTTTCATTCAAACTGCCACATAAGACATAATCAAAAAAAACAGTCAAATTTGTAGAGACAGAAAGTAGGAGAGTGGTTGCCAGGGTCCATAGAGATCGGGACTAAGGAGTTGCTCTTAATGAGTACAGACTTTTAGTTGGGGAATGGTGAACAACTTCCAGGCATGCTAGTGTTGGTTGCATGACAATATGAACACTTAATGTCCTGAATTTCCCACTAAAAATGGGTAAAACAGCAAACCTTATAATATATAGATGTATAGAGAGGGATCTCACCACAAATTTTTAAGTGTAAGGGGGAAAAGGCGATCAGAGACAAGGAACAAGTAATATCTATAAGTTACATCCTCTGAAAGGAAATTTTGCTCTTCCTTCCTTCTAGCTGAGAACAAAATGTCCAGGCTTTGAAATCAAGGACAAATCCATACTTCTCATTCCCAAACTCTGTAGCTCTGAGAAAGTCACTGTAACCTCTCTGACCTTCATTTTTCTTAGCTGTAAAGTAGGAAAAATAAACTCTAACTAGCAGGGTTGTAAATGAGTACCAAGTTAGCTAAATATCTCTAGGCTCTGCTCAGGGCTAGGCCATCCAGAGTGTGTATTTCTGGGCTCACACTGAGCATTCCTGGATATTGGCTTCTCAGCTGTCTTCTCGCTGTAATCCTCAAAGATTACAGAAAGTAGCTGAAGGTACCTGTGTGTGCATTTGTGTGTGTGTGATTTCCACTAGCCTCATTTTCCTCGTGAATAAATCGGTTGCCTTCCTTTGCTAAGGCAAACTTGATATGTACCCAGGTCAACCCTTAGCCAACAGCTGAAGCTTCCCCTTGAGCTGACCAAGATTCCCATACATGGAATGCTCAGGTATTTGTTTCTCTTCCCCTGGGCCTCAGTTCAACATTTAACATAGGAGAGTCTTGAGTTGAGTACATAGCATGTGCAAGATCTGTTCTTGGTGAAAAATCACAAACACTGAGCAGCTGTCTCCTGTTAACACAGCACACAATCCGGCAACACCAGTGGGGACCATAGTTAGCCTATGTTTAAGTACAGGAAAAGGATATTGGTCCTAGGTCACTGCCACCCTGAGCTGCTGGTCCATGACTGTTGACTAAAAAGAAGGGGAGTGGTTTTCAATATCTGTGGTTTCCCTTACCTCCTCAACCCAGAGCCCTACTTCCATACTTGGCCTGGCTTAGGCTTATCACAGATGTTCCCTGTCCTATGCCTCACACAGAAATCTCAGGAAACAGTAGAAAATGCCTCAGCAACCCACAAAATTGCTGTCATTATAGTAAAGAAGCCAGCACCCATCCTACTGTCTGGCATGGTAGCCAGGTTCTTTAGGGCATAGGTGCTTTGTTGAATTATCATAGCGCTAATGCCAAGATACAGAGGCATATGGTAAGAGGGATAGTTTACCCACAAATCTTGCTTGGTCCTTTCTCTTGAAAAATATGAGAATCTGGCAGTAATAGGTCTATGCACTCACATGTCTGAAGTTGGCAGGACCTGAAAAAGACTCTTCCTTGAATGGAATAGAGTCTACACTCTAGTTATCTCCCTGAAAATGTCACTCTGAAGGAAGTCTTACCCTTCTAGAGGAGACCTCTTGTCTCAGAGGAAAGGGTGTCTTCTGAAAGAACACTGGAAACAGGATTCAAAGAAGCCTAGCCAGGACCAGCTAATTGGCTGACTAGTCTGCCACTCATTGGCTGGCAGTGATAGAGATGGGATCAGGACAGACCTACCTCGGTGACTTCCTGCCTGGAACACCTGTGTTACAGGAGGAAATTCATCTTTCCCAGTTGGAGGGCAGCTCTGTAGAAATAGCATTTAATTCATTGCATGCATTTGGTCTAGAACAGAGTTCTCAACCTGTGAGTTGCAACCCTTTTGGGGATCAAACGACCCTTTCACAGGAATCACATATCAGATATCCTGCATCTCAGATACATTACAATTCTTAACAGTAGCAAAACTACAGTTATGAAGAAGCAACAAAAATAATTTTATGGTTGAGGTCACCACAACATGTATTAAAGGGTCACATCATTAGGAAGTTTGAGAACCACCGCTGTACAAAATTTCTAAAAGTGTAAACAATTTTCAATATATGTGTGACTTTAGCTCAATATGAAAGTAGCTGTGATTTTTTTAACAACAGGGCCTAGGCTGTCCCAATACTATAAATACTGATATGCCACTTAAGCAATATTCATAGTTGTAAAGAGTAACAATGTTAACAATGTTAAAAATTGGTGCACACCTTTAATCCCAGCACTCTGGAGGCAGAGGCAAGTTGGATCTCTGTGAGTTCCAGGCCAGCCTAGTCTACAGAACAAGTTCCAGGACAGCAGCTAGGGCTACACAAAGAAACCCTGTCTCAAAATTTAGAAAAAAAAAAATTAATAAAAGGTCTGGAGAGATGGCTCAGTGGTTAAGTGCCCTGGCTGTTCTTCCAGAGGACACGGGTTCAATTCCTAGCACCCATATGGCAACTCACAACTGTCTGTAACTCCAGTTCCAAGGCTACCAACATCCTCACACAAACATGCATACAAGCAAAACACCAATAAAATAAATAAATAATTTTTATTGACAAAACTGGTTTTATTTTTTTATTATTTTTTTTATTTTTTTAATTTTTTATTTTATTATTTATTTTATATAACAAAGTCCATTTAAATGAAAACAAACATTTATAGACAATATTTGGGAATTTGGGTGTTGTTCTTTCCAAACTACTTCCTGCTGGTAAGGGGCACTGTCATGGGGGATTCGAAGAAGATTCAGAAATCCTGGCTGTAGTCTGTAAGGCTGCTTTGTCCAGCTGTTTTGAATGTAGAATCACCTGGTACTCTGTTTCAGGCGGTCTGGCTTGATCAAACCACATTAGTCTGGAAGGAATCCACATCTTTTCATTTTCTGTGGAAACAAAAATAGAAATCCTTTTCCCCAGTAACTTGTCCTTCAACTTAAATTTTGGAGTCAAAGCATTTTTTTAAATAAATAAAATTTTAAAGTTACTAACAATAGAGATGTACTGTCATAGACCCCCAAATCAAGAGTCCCTGTGCCAGCATCATCAAGGAAACCACACCGACCCTGCTACTTAATTCAGAAATTATACTTAAGACCCCATCTATGAGCTGATCTTTGAGCATAGCCTGATCAGGACCTTGTGGAAAAGCTTGACAGTGCTCTTAGTTACCCCCCCCCCCCAGAACTTGATGACAAGACCCATCTGTTGAAAACAGCACACTTTAACCATAGGACACCGGGAAACAAGTGGTATTGAGCTGGAAATATCCTGCCTACTAGCTATCCTCATAGTGCCAGACTGCTGGGGGAGAAAAGCCATCAATAATCTTACCAAGCTGCAAGTTCTATGAGCTACAACAATGAACAACCTGTGAAGATGTGCCCATTGGCACAATAGTGGCATGAATGTTGTGGAGGTAGCCAACAACTTTTCAATTCAACTTAGGCTGCTTAGTGTACCTAAAGGTACACTCCAGAGGAGGGAATTCATGCCTAGCACTGCAAACTTGGTTAAGAAGAAGTAATGCCCTATTACTCTTGTTTTAATAAAGGGTCATAGTATGAAACTTTCCTTTAAATAAATACTAAATTCCTTTTTGAGTTTTTTGGGGTTTTTATGGTTTTTTTGTTGTTGGTGGTAGTGGTGGGTTTTTTGTTGTTATTTTGTTTTGTTTTGTTTGTTTATTTGTTTTTAAGATAGGGTCTTACTATGCAGCCCTAGAGGATGTGAAACTCACTATGTAGACCAGACAGGCTACCCTACAACCTCAGAGATCCACATACCTCTGCCTCCTGAGTGCTAGGATTAAAGGCCTGTACTACCATCACCCAATTTAAATACTTACCCTTATATCCATAGACTATTCATCAGATTACATTTCTTATGCAGATGGCAGTTAATACAAAGACTCAAAGCTAGACAAATATAGAAAATAAGAGACTGTTGGATGCTCATTCCTAAATGTGGCATATATATCATAACTCATTACCCCCAAGGCTCAGGAGACATCACAGAAGAAGGGATGGAAAGATGTTAGGATCCAGAGGTCAGAGAACATTACAGTGGACTGATGTCTTCTGGACATAGTGGAACCAAAGCACCCATGAGTCCACAGGAGATACACAGTTGCTGATCCAAGTCTGCATGAGGTCAACCTAGTAAACACTCCAGTGGAAGAAGGAAGGGATTTGGGAAGCCCAACCTTTATCTAAGGAGCTATTGTCACTTGGTGGATGCTGGGATAGGGAGAGTCAACCTTCTTCAGCAGTATGGCCTGTGGTGGGTTGCCCAAGTTTCAGTGGATGGTGCCCTATAATCACGTACATATAGGTAACAGCAATCCAACTCAGTGGGTAGAAAAGGAAGAGGAGGAGGAAGAAGAAGAAGACATGTTAGAGGGGAACACCACAGGGTAGATAATAATTTAAATGCATCATATTAATATGTGAAATTACCAAAGAATGTTTTTTAGATAGTAAAGTCAAAAAAGACAGACTGAAAAAGTTGCAACAAAATATAAAAAGTTGGTTACAAATCAGTAAAAGTAGAAAATACTCCAACATTAAAAAATTCTAATTCTATTACATTCTATTTCATACTGCATAGAATAAGAAAATATAAATCCAGTTAAACATGGGTAACAATCAACCTTTCCAAAAGGAACAGGGAAATTGCATTGATCTATTTTCCTTAGACCCACTATGAGTGTTTTAAATTCACTCTTTCTACTATACAAATGGCACTCCTTACATAATTTATTTTCCACACTTATTAATCAAAAACTCATTTTACTGCAAAACAAAGGACTCTCTAAACATCAAATTATCACCATTGTCTTAGAAAACCCATACAAGTACAACCCAGCATAAAGCAATACATAAGACATTGCTGTTTCTCGCTAGAAACAGTACATATATTGAGAAGTTGAAAGTATTTTCATTCAAGTCCCTTAAACTTCTGTGTTCAGGGGTGAAGAACATTCTTCAGATACAGCAATAAGAGCCAACCTGCTCCTTTCCAACCCTGCTAACAAAGGAATTCTTAGCTGTGAAATGCTGAACACCAGTGTTGACAGTCTCAGGGACACAGAGGACATCATAATGGATGGGATGGACACAGAATCTGACTGGGGAGTCACATATCAGAGAATCCAGCAGGTAATGGAATATATAACGCTGAGGCAGGACTCGGGACTTGTGAATGTTTTAGATTGGTTGGGTTCTTTACATTTAGTGTGTGCGTGCGTGCGTGCGTGCGTGCGTGCGTGCGTGTGTGTGTGTGTGTGTGTGTGTGTGTGTGTGTGTATACATGTACACCACAGCACACGCCGAGGTCAGAGGTCAGCTTGCGGGAGTTGGTTCTCTCCTTCTACCACATGGGCTCCAAGGCTCATATTTAGTCATCAGGTTTGGCAACAAGCACCTTTGCCCAGTTAGCCATCTCACCAATTGTTTAAAATAAGACTATCAGAGCCACGATTCTTGAAGAGGGAAAGTTAAGAATAAAAGACAACAGATGAATATTGAGTTTCTTAAAACATCATAATTTTGTGTTTGGAAAAAAATGTAAATGTTTCTATAAAGCAAAGAACCAATAGAAAAGTTCTAGAAAACCTTGGATGATAACTACTTACAGATGATAACTACTTCATGCTCTCTAAGAAGCAGAAGTAAGTTGATTTGTATTTGTATTGAAAAATAAAAATGACATGTGTATATGGTGTACAACATGATGCTTGGAGGAAGTCAGTTTTCAACTGAATCTATGCAGGAAGTAGCTTTAAATAGCTTGAGCTTATCATTTGCTCTTAAGCAATAGCTGGGGTAGGGTAAATGTGTGCTTAGAAAGGAACAGTGTGGGGAATGGGCTGGGGGTGGGAGGAGCCTATCCTGAGGACAAGTGGCCAGTAATTAGGAAACACGTGCTGGGACCAAGAGTGATTGGTTCACCTGCATCTTTGGTCCCTAAATTAGTGCTTGATACACAGGAAGACCAATTAATATCTACTGACTTAATGGATTAATGAACACTGCTATAGTTTACACATGGACTTATGTGTTTTAAGCTCAGTCTCCAATGTGACAATGTTGAGAGGCAGTTGGACATTTGAGAAATAGGATGCAAAGAGGTCATGGGAGGGTTCCATCACCAGAAAGAATTAATGTACTTTTGATGGGGTTCCAGTTAGTTCTTAGGAAAAGAGGAAGCCTTTACCACACACCCATGATCCCAGCCCTCTGTAGCTTAGGAAAAAGGACTGAGAGTTTGAGGCCAGCCAGGGGTACACAGCAAGACCTTCCCTGTGACTCCTCCCACAGGAGTAGGTGGCAAGGGACCTGGCTCCGACATTTGTCCTGACTCACCATGTGATCTCTTCTACATGTGTCCTATCACTGTGATGCCCTCCTCCATGAGAGCTTCATTAGAGGACAAGCAGACAGAGTCAGCTGAGTCAATATTTCAGATAAATAAATCACTTCTTTTAATATATTTTCCAGTTCCAGTATTTTGTTACAGTGGCAGAAAATGGATTAATACAGCTGTCAAAAATCAAGGACTGGGTATGATGCCACATGCCTTTAATTCTAGCACTCTGGAAGCAGAGGCAGGTAGATAGCTGTGAGTTGGATACTGTCCTGGTCTACATAGTGAGTTCCAGGAAAGCCATGACTGCATAGAGAAACCCAAAATCAAAAATCTCAAAAATCAAAACAACAACCATGTCCTTTTCATTCTGATGGGTGTTAAAATTAATCTTACATTATTTTTAAAAAATAGAACATAAACAGACCTACTAGCTACCTACCAGTCTCTCTTGAAGCTACTATCTAGCCCAGGAGATTCAAGGACACATGGTATTTGTACTTATACAGTACATGCATAAAGTCCTTATGAAATGAAATGCATTTTCTCTCCTCCTTCTGTCATCCTAGTATCTGAAATAACCAGATGATGGGCTGGAGATCCAGCAGTTCAATTGAGCATGGACTACAGACTCTGGGACAGCAAATAGAAAGATTCAAGCCTGAGCCTCCGATCTCCACTGTTAGTATACCTAGCCTAAGTTATCTGCCTTCAGACTTGCCGTTCCATGAAGGGTAAATAAACGACTATGTTTACAGCCTCTTTTCTTTGGAAGTGTGTTGTTATTACCAGAGAAAGTTAATCCTGGAGGTGTCGATTAGCATCTAGCCCCTAGAGACAGTGAGAATGTAGCAGCCCAGAAGTGTCCAGTTTGCCTCCATCAGCAATAGCCCTCGTTCCCGCTATCTGTTACCTGTACCTGGCTCCCTGGACACTGTCCCTTCTACACCTTGAATCAGAACCTTGTAAGTTTTAGGACAGTGCTTTCGGTAGAGATTTTCCACCAGGGTGTTGCTTCCTCTAACCACAGTCCTGCCTTCTTTGTTCATGTAGTTCCACAAATGCAGCGCATAAGAGTTATTGAAGCTCGGCTCTGTGTCCCACACTTGGTAGTAGCGCCTCCACTGTGGATAGGGGATAGGATAAAACCTCTGGGGGTGAAGGAAGGAAATATTCAGACACTTGAGGTCACTCAGCTCTTGGAAGTCTTGAAGTCTGCACCACACCTTTAACATCCTTGTCATCAGATGAGGCCCTTGGTTGCCCCAGATGCCTGAGTTGTAATGCTCAACGAAGTTCTCCATGCAAGCCCACAGGAAGGGGTGGTGGGGGAGGAACCCAAATACCCCATTACTAGAGTGCCGGGAACCCTCAGCTGCCAGGAAGTTCTCCTCAGGGATGGGCCTGATGGAGATGACATCGGTATCCATGTAGATGCCACCATATTTCCAGATGATAGCCAGTCGGGATGCATCTGAGCTGACATGGAGCCAGTATTTCTCAGTACTGCTGTTGACCTATGGGAACAGGAACAAATGAGCCCGCAAGCAGTAAGGGTGGCTACAAAGGACCACAACAAAGTAGATTCCCCAACATCTATTGGACTGCAAGCGGAACTTTATAAATTTCTCAATTTACCTTCACCCTCCAATTTTCCTTGAAGGAAAGAGTTTGCAGTAATTAGTATCAATGCAAAGATTTTTAGCAGCTATTGAAGATTTTTTAAAAAATGGATTTTCTTTCATTAAAGCAGTGGAAAGATAGAGGCAAAATTCCAAAATTCAACAGCAATTTCACAATGAACAGTGTGAGTCAGTCTTTTCTGTGGGTGACAATAACCACAAATTTGAAACTGTGAAGGATGTTTCTTTTTTTTTCTTTTTCTTTTTCTTTTTTTTTTTTCTTTTTCTTTTTTTTTTTTTTTTTTTGAGATGGGGTTTCTCTATGTAACTTTGTAGATTGATTTTTTTTCAAGTCCTTAAAATGTTGAAGATTGATAGTCAAAAAAAAAAAAAAAAAAGCTAGGAAACTTGAAAAAAAAATCAATACATGGGTTGAGAAATTGGGAGAAAGAAAAGAAACAGAATCTGAGACTGCATGAATACATGCCTTCGTTTGCTTGGAAGGTCCTTTAATGGGATTCGCTGAGGACCTGCTCGCTATGCACCAAGGACTGTGCAGTTGCTAAAAGCATAGCAATAACACACAAGAAAACTCACCACTGGGAGGAGATGGATGATAAACCCATGTATACTGCCCTGGGTTTATGAAGGGAATAAAAACAATATGTGAGGGGACTTTAGGGGGCGAAAGAGTGCACAACGTTACATTAGGTTCCAGCAGAAACTTGAATGCAGTAGATGGGTGGGCCGTGAAAACATCCAGGAGCAAATCCTAAATTGGAAGAGTCAGCAAGTGCAAGGGCCCCAAAGTGGGCACCTATTAGCTGAGGCTAAAGTGGAGTGGAAGGGGGGAGGGGCAGGCAACGAGAACAAAGCAGACAAAGGGAAAGACCATGTGGAATGGGATCAAGATTTTAAATTATTTGGCAGGTTGAGCAGAAGGATTGTTTGGCAGGTTGAGCAGAAGGGAGTGACGTAATCTGAATGGGGTTTCCAAGGGTCACTTTGGCGGTTATATAGACAAGAATTTGGGGCAATGGTAGGAACTGATGGAGACAGAGACAAAGAAGCAGGCTAGGAGCTTGTTGAGGTAATCCAGACTTGGACCAGGGTGATAATCTGGTGGGAATGAGAGAGACGTGACCAGGGTCCATATTCCAGATAAAAACAGGTCAGCCTTCACTGATGGGTTGGCGGGTAAGAAAGAATGACTAAATGCTAAAATGCAAGCAAAACACAAGAGGAGCCCCGAGTAATAAAAACAAATCAGTATAAATCATAGTGTTCCCCTTTGGAATGGTAAGATTTTGAATAAAAAAAAAAAAAAGTTTTTCTGAATTTAAATACATTGAGTAAAAGATTAAACAAAGACCTTTGGTTTTGAACACACACACAAAAAGAGTTGTTAAAATTCTACTGTGAAAAACAAAAGCAAGTCAACAAAATCTTTGTTTAAAAAAAAAAAAAAACACACACACACATCACAGGTGCTGAAAATCATCTCATCATTTGCAAATCCTGAAACCTCAGAAAACAGTTAATAGCTAGCACATACCATTGGTCATTCTGAGCACTTTCTAATCTGCATCAGTCCTCAAAGACCAGGTGCATGGTCATTCTACCTTTCGCATGAAAAACTGAAGGATCAAGATGCTCCATCCTTTGTCTTCAGATATTCACTCACTCAAAGGAAACTACAGTTTTGATAAAAGATCAGCGTAACTTGGGAGCCTAAGGGTTGTGACTGAACTAAGAGACATAGCACATCAAACGCCTTGGAAAAGCAAAAGAGGAACCCATCCACCTGAGTGGGGTGGGTGGGAGAAGGGGGACTGAGAGCAACGGCCATGTTGATTCCGGACATCTTCAAGAGCTACAACTACTTGTAGAGTTCATATAGCAAACCCAGTGGTCCTTAGGAAATGATGGCACAATGGAGCCTCTCTAACAGGTGCCCCCCATCCATCCCCTGTGTAGGGCCACCTGGGACAGAACATGTCATGGGCCAGTTCCCTAATGGCATCATTGTATGAGTGCTGTAGTTACATACCCCAGTATAGAACCCTACAGACCCAAATGGAATGGGCACCTAAGAGCTCTGCATCTCAGGGCCCACCTTGCTCCTAAAAATCTAACATGTAAAATCTAGGTCCATCCTAGCACAACCCAAGCTTTGCTCCAAAGGATTTTGGTTCCAAGAGATTATTTACCTATCACATTGAAAGAGAGTTCTAAATAGGACTAAAGTTTCCTTAGTTCAGAACCATAATGAGGTTCTCATAGTCTTACTGAGCGATTCATCTGTGAGAAAAAAAGATGCAGTGTGCAGCATCTCCAAAAATAACATGCTTTAATATTTCCTTTTCCAAGGAGCAAGGTGCAACTTAGATAAGAACAGTCTAGCTCAGGTATGGGAAAGGTTGTGCAGTCTTGGACATCCTTAGAGGCAGGGACAAAGCTGTCTGCTCCCTCCTTGCACCTGCCTTCCTAGCCTGTTACATACTCTGCTGCTCCTGGGACAGTGACACCTACTTTCCAGGAACCCTGCTGCTTACAACTGCCAAGACTAACATATGGACACTTAATATACTTGAATTGATCCACTTCCTCTTGGCCAGTTGCAATTTGATATTTCCGGGCTCTTATAACAGGTGGTACTTTGACATCTAAAAGTCACTGGAGCACAAAGTGATGCTGACCCAAGGAACTGTCCTCAATCCCAGCCCCTGCCAGCCTGCCTAATCTACTAGAAGTGTCCCCTCAGGGGGACAAATGTTTCCAAATGATAGCAACTAGAGTCAGACCTGCCAACCACATGCCAACACACCAGAACCCCACAAATAAGTCAGGGCAGGGGACTAGAGGGGAGGGCATTCTACTCTTTTTATGAACATGCTAAATAATACTAAATAATGACCTCAAAAATGTCAGGTCCTAATTCCTGGGAACCTATAAATCTGGGGGGAGGATGTTTGCAGTTATGATTAAGTCAAGGATATGGAGGTGAGATGGTGATCCTAGATTACACTGATGAGTCTTGAAAATATCACAGATGTCATTTAAAGAATGGGGTAGACAGAGACTATGCACACACAGAGGTAAAGGAGACTTTGAAGGAGGAAGCAAGTAGATCGATGGACTACAGGCCAAGGAACAGCTTGGCCACCAGAAGTTGTTAAGGAACAAGGAACAGTCCTACCCTACAGCCCCTGCTGTGACTGTGGCTTCCAGAGCTGAGAGCATAAATGTCTGTTGCTGTCAGTCACCACATCTGAGGTCATTTGTTAAAGGAGCCCTGGTGAACTAACACAGTGACAGATACAATAACTTCTCTTTTGCTACTTGACCTACAAAGCTTAAATATTCACTAATATTTAGTCAAGAATTTAGGTTGAACTTCATATGGCAAGCAAATGTTATGATACCAGTTTTCAAATTATTTCTATTTTTAAAAATATTTTTCTTAAGCCAGGTGGTAGTGGTACATACCTTTAATTCTAGCACTCAGGAGGCAGATCTCTGTGAGTTTGAGGCCAGCCTGGTCTACAGAGCTAGTTCCAGAACAGGTAAGGCTGTTACACAGAGAAACCCTGTCTCGAAAAAACAAACAAACAAACAAAATAATAATAATAATATTAACAATTTTCTTCACCAGGAGGTGGTGGCACATGCCTTTAATCCCAGCATTCAGAGGGCAGAGGCAGGTGGATCTCTGTGAGTTCAAGGCCAGCCTAATCTACAAAGTGAGTTCCAGGACAGACAGAGCTGTTACACAGAGAAACCCTGTCTCAAAAAAAAAAAAAAAAAGAATTTTCTTTATAAAATCAACAATTTTGAATGTCACTTCTATTTCAATCATATTCAAACATCTGTTGTAATGTTGTTTGGTTTCTTTATTGCAAGAGTTTGATTTGTCTTTGTTTTTTAGATTTTTTTCACTTTTTGAGACAAAAGTCTCAAGTAGCCCAGGCTGGTCTACAAGTCGCTATGAAGACTTTAAATTCCTGATCCTCCCTACCTCTACCTCCCAAGTAGTAGGATTATGGGTGTGTGCCCCATGAAGGCTTCCTCCCTTCTTTTTAACTCTGGAGATGGTTGCATAGTTGAAATCTTTATAATTGCATTATAGTGACAAGGAGACTTTCATTCCACCTTGTCTTATACTTCCCATAAGATGTTAGTTAAAATTTAAAAAATAAAAATAAAAAAGCTCAGTTAAGTCCTATCTAATGGAATCCTTGAGTAACTTCACTCTAAGCATTACCCAACTGTGCATCCTCCATGAGACCAACATTACACTGAAATATTATTTCCTTATTACAATATACTGCTAAGAGGAGGATTATTGGACTCCTAGGAGTTCTGGGGCTCCTTGATCATCTCTTGCTACAGCCCTGTCTCATGGAGCAGCATGCTACTGATTCTAGCTGAATTCCCGACCTACATCACTTTCATTTTAAATGTTGCTTGGTTTCCACCTCTGGTGTTGAAAATGTTTAAATTATAAGGAACAATAAGTGCTCCATGTACCTAGAAAAGATTAAAAAAAATTATTCAGTTAAAAAGAGCCTCCAAACCAGAATTTATCCCTAATGCATGAATGGGCTTTGGGAGCCCATTCCCTATGGAGGGATACTCCTTCAGCCTAGATATGTGGGGGAGGGCCTGGGTCCTGCCCCAAATGATGTCACAGACTTTGATGATCCCCCATGGGAGTGGATGGGGAGTGGGATAGGAAGTTGATGGGGGAATGGGAGGGTGGGAGGGGCAGGGAACTGGAATTAGTATGTAAAATAAGGTTGTTTTAAATTTAAATAAAAATTAATTTAAAAATTAAAAAAAAAAAAAAAAGGAAGAGCCTCCAAAATACCAAGGAGACTCAAAAAAATAAGCCTCGGTGCAAAGGAAACCAGCCCAATCACTTAACTGACATGTCTTCCATTTACTTGAATCAAAAGTCCAAGCCATTAGTCTGAGTGCTAGACTTGACTCTTTCCTGAGCCCTTGTCCTCAGTTTACCTGTCTACAGTAAGTGTGTTGGACTCATTTTCTTGCAGGTTCTGTTTCTCCCTCCCAACACAGACTCTCTCCAGGCTTTGAACACTTACTTTGGTGTACCATGAAAACAAAGGTGTGTCTTCAAACAGCTTTTTCATGTCCAAAGGGACAAAGAAAACATTGTCTATGGCCGAGAGCAGGGAGAAGGCTGGGGAGCTGACGTTTGAAGTCAGCTGTGTGGCATTGCTGAGCCATTTCATAAAGAAGATGACCGGCTGCTCTGGGTAGATTTTGGCAGCAGACTCCACAGCACAGGTGACCAGTGGAGGTGGCTCCACTCTTTCAGAAGTCTCTATGAACACGATGCTTCGTCCATTTCTCAAGAGGTCTTCTGGCCCCTGTGGAGATGTGAATAGAGGCAGGCCAGCAAAGAAGCAGTGAGACCTCAGGGTGAGCTGGTATAACAGGCCACAGGCAAACACCAGGACCAGTGACAGGGAGAGATGGAGTTCCTTCAGCATGTCCTTCAGCTCTCCAGCCTCTCTTTTAAGCAACACAGTTCATCGGAATCCACCCTGGTGATCCTAATAGAGAAGACAAGCAAGAAAATGAGTAAGCTATCGCTTATCGACTAAGATGAAAAGAGTCTCCAGTAAAATATAATCAAGTCAAGACTGACAATATTTTTAAAAATCATCTTAGATTTATATAGGAAGACAATTAATTTAATATGTATACTATTAATGCACAAATTGTCTTAACAGAAGAAAAGGAAAGCAATCATCTCACTATTATAATTCAATAGATGTCAAGAATGAGGGAAATTTTGACACACATTCATGTTTTTTTAAAAAAATTACAAGAAAACTTTATCTGATAAACAACACCTGTCAGAACAATACATAAATGATAACACATAGGTAGCATATGGATAGAAATAGATTATAATATTGATGACACTGTATAGATAAAAATACATAGCAATCAGCCTTCTTCACACAAAACATTCCAATAAAGCTTGACTATGACAAATTCCCATCATCATTTTTTGCTAGTCAATATTATTCTAGCAATTCTAACAATGTCAACGAAACAAAAGAAAAAAATCACTAATATAAATATTAGAAGAGGCCTAAGTATCACCAGTTTTCCAAACTATGACCACAGATGGAGAACATTCAAAATAAAGTGTTTAAAAAAATTAACAAAGAAAATTAACCAAAGGTCTAAACCAAAAGTTAGAGAGTTACATTCCGAACACAGTTTGCAACACTGGGGCTGTAATTCCAACCTGGATCAGTGACCACCACAGTCCAGGCTCCAGTTGTTGCCACAGTGGTCCCCTCCCTGCAGAAGGCAGCTTGAACTCAAGCTGACTCCAGGACAGCAAGGATCACAATTCCTAAAAGGCCTGTTTTTTGCCTTCCACATGACTCTTTCCGAAAACTCAAATCCAGGAGCCCAGAACTTACTTTCCGGCCAGAGACTTGCAGCTCACCAGTATTTGAGGTCTTAGAAGTGAGGACATGCTTTTCCTGTGTACATTCTAATAACTCACTGGCCAGTCTTCCAATTCAATCACACAGAGCAAAGTAAATCATTGGCAGAAGATTAAAAATAAATCTAAGAACTCCCCAGGAAGCTCCTCCCTTCACTAAGTCCTCCCCCTCTCCCTGAAAGTAGGTATATAGAGTTCACAGATGACCCACACACTTGGCAAGTCTGTTTGGGGATATATCATGGGGACTCCAAGAGGATCCTCTGGAAGGGGTGGGGGACTATATGAGAGCCTGATGCTGGCCCTATCACCCACCTGTTCAGCTTAGCTTGAATCAAACTCATGGACACAGTCTTGTGAAAGTTTCTTTACCAGACAATCTGTAAACTGACCCAGATTTCTCCTTTGCAATCATTATTAAAAGTTTTGATGAAAGAAAGGAAGGAAGGAAGGAAGGAAGGAAGCAAGGAAGGAAGGAAGGAAGGAAGACGACAGCATCAAAGCAGTAGACAAACTCCAGGAGCCCAAAGGCCCAGGGCTATACAATGAATATGGATCCCCTGGTGTCAGCTACAATGGCTGCAGGAGGGGTCTTTCTTGCCTGGATGTACCGTTGTTAGGTAGGAGCCTCCTCTTACTCTCACAAAATCAGCTCAATCACCTTCAACCAGTGTGGGTTTCCCCAAGGTATCTTCACCCTCCATGGTCTGGCTGCATGGTCCTTGATGTGAGCATTCAACAAACATCTTCAAAGCTGTTCTTCACAGGTGGTGGTAGCCTTTAATCTTAGCACTCAGGAGGTAGAGGAAGAGGGAATCTTTGAGTTTGAGGCCTGCTGTCTACAAACAGAGCGAGTTCCAGGACAGCCAGTGATACACACACACACACACACACACACACAAAAAAAAAAAAAAAAACAAACAAAAAACCCTGTCTTAGACAAACCAAAAGAAATGTAGGAAGGAAGGAAGGAAAGAAGGAAGGAAGGGAAGGAGGGAGGGAAGAAGGAAGGAAGGAAACTGCTCTCTACTCAGAGAATCACCTGTCCTCAGCCCAGAGCGTCCTCTTAGCAAAAACCAGGTTTCCCTGGATGCTGTAGTATGATCAGGGAGGTACCCTACTGGACAGACTGTGGATTCAGTCCTACATAAAGGGAGCTGAAACTATCCAATTTCTTGATATCTTTGGGGGGGGTCTTTTTTCTTTTTTTGGTCTGAGCATCCCCAGAACTAGCTCCTCATTCTCCACCTGCTCCTGCTTTGGGAACTGGATTTCTTCTGTGCACCTGATCAACTCTGGGCTCAAGGTAATCTGGCATCTTTTGAGAGTTCTTGGAGTTGGATAGATGTGGGTGTTCTTTCCTACAAACCAGAGGAGTGATTAGTGGCCCTGCTGCCTGCTTGAGTCTAACTAGAGAGCTGGGTTTCTGTAAAAGATATATCCCTTGTTCCAAATTGGGACTAGCTGCTTGTATATCGGCATAAACAAATCAGCTAGAGAACAAGGCAGAAAACAGTGATGTAGTTAGTGGTCTTTTCAGTGGGGCATGGGTGTGAGCTTGAGTGATGCAGTGAAATCTCAAGATCACAAGTAGATCTTCTGATCAAGCACCGGGTAGAGAGATGCCTCCTTCTGTCGAAGGCCCCAAGAAATGCAAAAACTAACTACTTCAGGCTCACCAAGGGGATGAAATGGCTAAAGAATGCATCTTGACTTCCCACTAAGGGAGAACAGGAAAGACTATGTTAATGAAGATGGAATCATGGAAAGTGGTGTACACCTGTGATTCCAGCACTGGATGGGTAGAGGCAGGAGGATCAGAGTTCAGACTCATCCTCAGCCACATAGCTAGATCCTGCCTCAAAAATAAAACAAAAATTAATGTAGATGGCATTTGGACTCCTTCATAAAAGCATAAAGCTGCTTGCTCACTGGGTAGTTGTTTTTTTTTTTAATTTATGAATGAAATTTGTATCCCCAGTGAACCTTTAAGGAGAAAATCCTCACCCTTGTGTGAGTTGGTGTGATGTGTCCAAAAAGCAAATCAGAGGTCCCTAGGAATGTTTAGGATCGCAGCTTGATGTCCTTCCCTGGTCTTCCTGAATCATTTGAGTCACTCCACATGGAACTTCCAAGGGTGTGCAGACATCTGGAAGTACCTTTCTAGGGGGACCAAGAATATTCCCTCCCTTCTGCTCTCCTTCCTGCTATACCTAGCCAATGCACACCCAGTTTCTGTCTATTCAGGGTGGGGCCCAGCAAAGGCTCAGACTTCATGGACCCCAAGCCTCCACAAGGATGGCTTTCAGGAAACCATCCACGGAGCTATAATTTACATTGAATCTAGATGTCATTTACCAAGATCCCCCTACTTATCACTCACCCCAGCCCACAAATATGCTGTCACTCTTGACACCAGCTCCTCTGCTCCCAACACTTTTCAAGATGTCTTCCACCTTCTTCGCTACAGACTCTCAGGTTTCCTCAGACTCCACAAGCAATCCCCAGAGACCCTGTGTGAGCGTCTGATAGAGACGTACACAGAGCTGCTGGCCTCTGAGCAGCAGGCATGTCAGAATAGCCTGCTGAGAGACACATGTGGATCTGGGTGTTATCTGCTTCCATAGGAAGTCTACTTTGTGGAAAGGAATTCTTTCTCCATTAAAGTGCAAGCCAGGTCCAATACACTGTGGAGCCTGGGTAACTGCCTTGGTTGGTGAGATGTTGGGGAATGTAGATCTATCAATCTACCAAATGAATAAACAAGATGGGGGGGATATCCCTGAATCTAGTCTTATTTCTACTTTTATTCATAAGACTGTTTCTTGGATGTTGAGGCTGTTTGTTTGTTTGTTTGTTTGTTTGTTTTAAGGGCAAAGCAGAGAGAAAAACCATGGAACCAGAAGGGAGCTTTTTCAATGCTTTGTACCTATGCATACCCTTTGATAATCTCAATTAGAAATAGTTCAGGATTTGGAGCAAAACACCCTCTTGCATAAAGGACCCACTGTACCAGGCCAGGAAAGTTAGAAGGATCTGTAACAGTAAATGTTTATCGACTGGAATTGCACCTAAAAAGTACACTTCACCTTTCTGTAGCTCCTTTGAACTCAGGTTTATTGTGAGAAGGAAATGCTTAAACTAGCAGCACTCGTCCTATTTGCTTTGACCTTTAATGCCACTGTTCCGGTTTTTAACACATTTGTCAAGCAAGTGGGATTGATAAACTTGTTAAAACATTCAGCTACTAGCAGCCCAAGACAAATTATCCAAGGTGATAGCTTTGTCCACGTGGCCAGTTCCTTTCCTTGAGCAAACATAGCCCAAAAAGGGCTTTGTTTGGCTGGATGTGAATAGATGGGGAAATGGTTAGACATGGACCTCATCTCGCCACAGAGTGGCAAACAATGGATAACATAGTGCTTGGGAACACATGAAGAAATAATAAAAGAAGCGATGCATGCTTACAAGTTATAATATCATTAAACACCAAAAATTACAATTTTTAAACTAGAAGTCAATGACTTAATGCCACCATACCTTGCAATGTATTTTAAACTACCTGAGGCTCCCAGTAAAATGGTCCTAATCTTTCTTTCTTTTTTATTGGGCATACCTAAATCAAACATGCCCCTGTGGACAAAAACCTTGCTCAGCTATCAAGCATGTTTCTTGATTTTTTTTATTGTGATAACACACATAATTACCCCCTGCCTTTAACATTTATTTGCAGATAAAAACAGCTGTTGAGAGATAAGGTATACAATAAATGTTCTTGGTGAGCCATTCGAACCCACTGACACCACTTTATAAGGCTATGTGGAGAAGCCCTCAGAACCAGAGTTGAATTCCATCTTCCATAAGAGAAGTAGGAACATCTTAGAGTTACCCACACCACCCACACAGCATGGGACTGTCTGAGAGATTCAGTGTATCTCAATACAGCTGACAGAAACTGTTACAGGCTACTATTATGTCACACCCCCACCCCAAATTTATCTAATCTCAATGCAGTGGATTTGGAGGTCAAACTTGAGAGGGGTAATTAGACTCAGATTAAA